TTGAGTGATTGAGTCATGTGATAAGAGAGATACATCATGGTTGTATGCGCTTCAGTTGTGAGCCTTGGGCTAATTAAGATTTGGAATTTTTATCACAAATAGTTATTTATGGTTTGAAAATGACAAATGTCAAAGAAGTCAAAAAGTCCACATGAGTGATAACAGTAAAAAAACTGGTGTTTGATGAATGTAAGCAAACTGGCAGTTTTTTTACGAAGTTGGATGTCAAGGACACATTGATGAGTAGAATAATTGATACAAGATGCATTGATGAGTTTTGAAACGTAAGAATCAAACTAATGAGTTTGAAGCATAAATGACCAAACTAATGAGTTGACAAAACATAAAGGACTACTTCTGATAAAAACCCTTACAGTTAACTAGTTTTCTAGAAGCTTAAACTTTGTGAGATGATGATGTTTTTGTGTTTTTTTTTTTTTTAATAAACTTTTGATGTATTTTATTAGGTCAGATTGTAAGGATTATTACTTAAATCAACATAAAGATAACACATATTGTGCCGTTGACGTACTAAAAGCAAGAAAATAAATTATTATTACCAATACCAACTAACATAAGCAATGCTAGGAAACTCAGCATTAGCCCTAGAAAGGCAAGACTCCTAGAAGATCAAAAGTAAAAACATTATTAAAACTCTAGGTTTCGCCCCAGAAGACAGACATCCTAGAAGACCTTTGACAAAAAGGAAAACATCCTAGAAGAGCAAACTGTTTGGGTCCAAAATACTGGTTTGGGCCGAGTTTAGAATTGTTCTCGGCCCGGAAGCCTTGCTCAGGGGTCGCTGAGGGTCATCCGGTTTGTGGGCCGCATAGCTAAGGCCGGCCATGTCCTATCAGGATTGGGTAGTTGAATCCTGATACAATAAGGAGTCTCAGCAGGATAAGGATGCTGAAACTTGGGAATGAATATGGCCTGATAAAGGGTTGAGTTCAAAGTCCTAATAGGAGTAGGACTGGCCGAGATAAGATTGGATCGGGGTAAGGAGTCCTAATCTGAATATAGTTTTGATTGATCAGAAGCAGGTTTGCTACTATAAATAGAGGGAGGGGTGCATGATTCAAACCCCCTCCAATTCAACACACAAATTGCCCTACGTAAACTCTCGCTCTACGCAAAACCTCTCAACAACCTTGAGATTTTTATTTTCTTTTTCGCCAACACATAGCACTGTGAAGGCCACCGGTGAACATCTTCAGTTTGGATAAACAGCACTGTTGCCACAGAATCAGCCGATCGCGAAGTACCTTCAGTTTGGATAAACATCACTGCGTCGAGGTTGACTGGTTATCTATCTAAGTCTCGGTCGAGAAGGGTTTTCGAATCCTTATTGACAGAGGTCATCTCACAAACCTTCTCGGAGAAGTGAGGTGTTACGAATCACCAGACTAGGTGCGTTGAACACCGAGTTATTTTATGATTGGATACTCATAAGTTGGATATAGAGTTCGGCATTCTGACTGCCGAACCACATTTACGATTAGCGTGCTTATACTCTGGTGTCGATTCAGCGTGCTTATACTCTTACGAATATAATCACCGTGACCGAATCTGACGTCGACGATTTGTGAACTTCGTAGAATTAGCAGCCTTGTCTTCAGGCTCTAAGGCCCGAAGGTCGAGATTGTTCATTCCTCGGTCGCAATCGCAAGATCGAGAAGTCCGCAGCGCACCCAACGCAACATCAACATATTTTACTCCTCGGCTGACGAGTTGGCACGCCCTGCATCAACCGAACGTAGTTAGCTCATACCAATTTAACACGAAGTACATATCCTTACCACCTTTCTAACTTGCCATTTATATTACACTAGACATGGAACATGCTAGGGATATTATATTTTCAGACCATATTTTGTAGAATGTGGTGTTGATGGTTGAGTTTCTGATTTAATGATTTAAAGAATGAATCAATGGTCAACCGCCATATTATCTGGACAAAATATGGTCAAGTCAATGGTCTATCTAGCATCACCCCCGATAGATAATTATTATTGTTTGAAAAAAAAATGTTTTCTATGCATGTTTGAATGATTTGCTACAATACATGTTTTTTTTAACGTAACACAGACTATATTTGTCACATCCAGGCCTAGGCCCCCACCACATCCCAGGTTCGATTCCATCGTAGCACGATATTGTTCGCTTTGGGCCCCAACCACGCCCTCACGGTTTTGTTTCTGGGAACTCACACGAGAACTTGGGTCACCAATCATGGGATTGCTCTAGCGCGAACTCGCTTAACTTCAGAATTCCGATGAAACCCGAAGCCAGTGAGCTCCCAAAAGGCCTCGTGCTAGGTAAATGTGAGAATATACATATAAGGTTTACATGATCCACTCCCCTGGACGATGTGGGATGTTACAATATTTGTATGATATGCGTACGTACCTTGCATGTTAGATACATATTTTTCACAAATTTTTAATAATAAATATAAAGTTAATGTATTTTAAACATATTAAACATGGAAAGTAAATTAAATATTTTAAATTATACATTAAGATTTTAAATAACGGTTGATTTTGTTTATCATAGTTTTTTAAAGATAGTTTATGAATAATAAAGGTACAATTAAAATAAATTGGAACCCCTTGGCCTTGTAGAACACTGTCCTTCCATCCCCCCAACCAACCGACTGCACACTGAAGACTACAATCCTCAAATAACAAGTCTGAACTTAAATATGAAAGCTCCTTGAACAAAACAAAGTGATCAAGGTGTTGAGCCACATTATTAGCTTGGCAGTGGACATAGGTACAAAAAAAAGAGATTTTTTTATAAAAAAAATTCGATATTGTTCACTTTAACGAAAAACCATATTTTTATACTAAAATGTCAATCATGGTACTATTCAATTTACCATTTATTTTGTCCTTATCGTTAAAACTCAAAGTTTTCAATTTTTTTTCATTAGTTTTCCTTAATTAAAAAAAAAGAACTACAATGCTCACATGCAATAAAGATTTAAAAACCTCATGCTGATGTCAACGGCAAGCCTTCTCTGACCGCTCAAAGGATCATCATACACATTTCTCTCAGTTTTTTACCATCATATCGAATTAATTGAAGAAGATAAAAGGATAGATATTAACAAGAGGGTATGAAAATTAAAAATAGATGTGTAGATATCATTATCCTAAACTAAATTATAAATGTAAGTCCCGCTATATAATAATTTAAAAAGAAAAATACAGTGCTTTTAAAATATTAGGGGGGCGTTATTGAAACTTTGTAAAAAGTTATTTTGCACTTTTTTTATAGTAGTATGTGTTTAGAGTGCATAATGACTTTATAGAATGTCAATGATAACTCCGAAAAAAATAAATTTTTTATTTATTAGACTGGCATATTGACACACCAAAAAAATTCGGTTTGCACTCCACTCAAGTGTTTTTTCTTCTTCTTATATTTGTATATATTTTGAGCATTGTTCTAAAGGGCGGTCACCTAGTTGCTAGGCAATTGGCAACCGTCATGATTAATTCTTAGGCCTTTAAAATATCGGGTAGGACGCCTAAGCATGCCTAGGATGGGTTAAGCAGGATCAGGCAGGCTAGGTGACTGTTTAGGTTTTTTTTCGGAAGAGGATCCTCTTTTGAGCTCAGGATGGGGATCCTCTTGACCACGAAATCTGGGCCGTTCAAATTTAATCCAACGGCTCCAAACAAGGGGACCTTTTAAAAGTTATAATAATTGCAACCGTTAGATTAAATTTGAACGGCTCTGATTTCGTGGTCAAGAGGATCCCCATCCTGAGCTCATGAGAGGATCCTCTTCCTTATTCAATGACTATGTGTGTTCCACTCTACCAATGTCCGTTCAAGATATCCATGTTTTCAACAAATTGTAATACTTAATAATTTTTATGTTTCCCAATATTAGTTTTTTTTTTTTAAGTATAAGCTTATTTATATGTTATATAAATTTAATAACAAAAATTAAAAAATGCCTAGATCCCATTTAGGCGTTAGGCTCTTACTCACTGACTGACTAATGCTTGACAATAACAACTCTTAAATGGTAACATGATCTTAGCTTGTCTCACCTCTCTCTATCTCTCGAAATTAACCAGAGAAATTATTTGAATTTTGAATTTGAATACCATCCAATTGCATAGAGATGATAGATAAAACAATAATTCGTCAATAACATAATGAAAACAAAGCTAAAAGCTGTTCTACTACCAACCATTGGTCCATTGTTGACAGAAACACTAATCACCAGCTTAAAAGGAAAAATAATTATTAACAAAAAAATTATTTAATAATTTGCATACTTGATTTATTTAATACCAAATCAACTGTCACACCTAGAATAACGGAACATTTTCTTGGGAATATTAGGGATCTCGTAATCGTGATTGCTCACTGTAATCATACGGTCAGTTTCCATTAGGTATTATTTATATTTAATTTAAAATTTAAATTTTAAAATGATTTCTGATCGCACGATATACAATAAATGGTCATGATTACGGATTTCCTAAAAAAAGATCCGGCAAGGATCCTTTTCCGAATAATATAAACTCCTTTTCATTGACAATTGTCAATACCAGAATCTCAAGGTAATATAATTTTCATTTTCGTATGATGATCTATTCACTTCTTCATTCTCCACAAGAGAGACTGCATGAACAAGGATGTCCTTCCATACAGATCTTCGAAGCGTAAATTCAAAATTCTTTGCTTCGATTCCACCATGTTTAAAATATAAATAAAATAATAACATCATTAGACAGTGTGACGACCACACACGAAAAATTACTCCAATCTCACATGGTCCTCACCTCTCACACAATTATAGCCGTTTATCCCTTGTAGGCCCCGCCCGAATTGTAGAATCCGAGACTTGTTTGAATAATTTCCACCCAAAAGCACATGGCCACGTCACCAAATTGACAGTAAAAAAGATAAAAGTAGAAAATATAATAAAAAATAAATGAAAAAGGCCATTACCGTACAGGGAGGCCTGCCTTATTCTTCTCTTGCTGCTCTTGCTGGCCTTTCCTCACCGGTCACCACTCTCAACCTAACCCTTTATATAACAACCCTAAACTCTCTCTCTTTCCTCCCTCACATTCTCTCTCTTTCTCTCTCTAAGTTTTGAGTTTTGCTCATTTTTGTCTTGTGTTTTTTTTCATTCAAATTCTTTGCTTTAAAATTTATTTTTTGTTTAGAGTTTTAATAGAGAAGGAAAAATGGCGCTTTGCTTCGGATTTTCTAAAGCATTTTTTAGAGTTGTTCTAGTCTCTGCAATTGTCTTGTTCGCCCTTCTATCCCCATCTGCTGCTGCCACGCCCAAGCCCTCAGCTGCTGCTGCAACTCCTTCCTCCGCCCCTTCTCCCACCGCCGCCGCCCCTGCCCCTGGCCCTTCCAGTGATGGTATTTTCCAATTTTGCTTTCTTAATTCTCATTCTATATTTCTTTGTTTATAATTAGATCTGAATGCCTTTTGTTGATTTTTGTTTTCGAAAATTTTCTCTCTTTTTTTGGCACTTCGGTTTTGTTTTCCTTTTTTTGGTTGAGCGATGAGCATTGGGTTTTTTTATTTGGGATTTTTAAAATAATGTGAACTTTTTATAATTTTGGTTGTAAACTTGGCAGGAACTTCAATAGACCAAGGGATTGCATATGTGCTGATGCTAGTGGCTCTGGTGCTGACATATCTCATTCATCCTATGGACGCATCATCATCCTACAATTTCTTTTGAGTTGGATTCTTTTTAGGTGAATTAGTTAAAAAAAAAATATGAGAAAAAAATGGTGGTGATTTTTTCCTTTTTCCTCTATGATTTATTTGACCCCGTGATTGTTTGTGCATATTTAGAGAAATTGATGAGTGGTAATATTTGAGGCTGATTTAGCTTCTGTTATATAATTGTTGTCAGATTATTGTTCCTTTCTTCGTTTCTGTTCCATTCCTTTCTTTTACTACATTCCCATGGACACAGACACGTTATGTGACCCGACACACTTGAAACGTGTTACAAATTCATCTTCTCTTTTACTTGCTCGCATACCTTTACGTTTGTCATGCGCGACTAAGATTAAAAGTCGAGAAAATACAAGGAGAGGATCCAGATCCCAACAAGAAACATGCAGTTGTGACACGCTTGAGTCTTGGACGTACAGAAAGAGAAACAAATAGATAAGATGGGGACATTGTCTAGTATATATGCTCTGGTTATCTTATATTCCGGATTTTTTTTATTTTAACAGCTAAAAACCTTAGAGTATACATTCAAGTATAATAGACTTTTTCAGATGTTCAACGACGCACAATATAATAGAATTTTTCATACACAAGCTACCTTGCTGCAGGTACTAGCTGACGAACGTCCATTCCGACCGTCCCTTACCGTCCCTTTTTCAAAACTCTTTACCAAATGTGTCAAAATCTTATAGCTCTAATCACATGAATAGGATACCAATTTCCGGTATGCAATACTAAACATCCAAACTCACTGCTAAACAAAGCTATAAAAACAGGCAGAATAATATGATGTATAAAGAAATAAACCAAACAAGGTTGTAGATGGTTAAGTTGGGACAATATCGGTGATGTTAATGGTGGACCACGCTTGACCTATAAAATTTATCAGAGTAAGAGTGAAAAAGAAGCCGGTGGAAGTGACGAGCCCCTTCCAGCATCCGGTAGCACAGTTATTGCAGGCAGTCCTTACCGCTGCAATTCTGTGATCAAGTTCATCCTGTTGCTCTTCTTCTTCTTTATCTGAAAAACATAGAAGAAATAACAGAAAATTTAGAAATGAGAAGGGATTGGCCTGGAAGTGTTTGAATATAGCATAATTTACCAATGGTGACAACATGATATAGTCGAATTCATTGCAGTATAAAACAACAATCATTCCCTCTATAAAACAGAAAGTGAACTTCAAGGCTTTGACACAACAAGTCTTACTCGGTTAAATATTAATATTTATTTCATTCATTTTTAATGTTTATTAAGTCACGTCAAACATAAGCTCGAGCTCATTTAAAAGACACTTGAAAATACCATAGTATTTGGCTTGTCTCATTGAGCCACCAAAAAAAAAAGCATCACTTGGCCAAAACACAATTTTAATTGAAAATAAATAAGAAACAAAAAAGAATAAAGTATTTTTTTCGAATCTTATAAAATAAAGGACGAGGATCCTCTCCGGATCCTCTTTGTGGGGATCCAGAGATCAATCAATCGTATCTGTTTATCGTAAATCGTGTAGTCAGTTTTCGTTAAGTACTATTTATATTCAATTTTAAATTTTAAATTCAAAATAATTTCTAACCGCATGATGTACGATGAACGGACTCGATTGATTGATCATCCGGATCCCCACAAAGAGGATCCAAAGAGGATCCTATTCCTAAAATGAAATCACCATAAAGCAATAAAGACGCATTTCGAAAAACCATCAAACCAGACACTTAGGCCATCTCCAACCAAAGGGTCCAGATGACCAAAAATAGCCCAAAAATCGTCTCTAACTGAGGGCTAGGCCAGAGGGCTCATGGGCCCCATGGAATCTGAATGGGTCAGAAGACCAACCGGTTGGCCATCTTCAATCAGCTAGCTAACCCGCTGGCTAGCCTTTTTTTTTTTTCCTTTCCACTTGCCCAGCCCGGTTTCATTTTTGTTTTTTTTTGTTCTTTTAGGCCACTTTAAGGCTTTCAATTTTAGGTCTTAGCCCACTTTTTTGTTTTTTTCTTAACAGCCGTTTTTGTTTTTTTGACCTTTTTTTTTTTTAATTTCTAATTTTTTCATACACCATTTCTCACATGTCTTTTTTCACCACTTCATACTGTCTTACCTCTTTTTATTTCAATTCTTCACATTTCATACTATAGCCATTTAACCCTCAGTTGGAGATGGTTTTTTATGACAGGGCTAAAACAAGCCTCTTGCCCTTTAGCCCTTGGTTGGAGATGGAGGCAAATATGACCATGTACTATTCATTAAAATATTAATATCTTGGAGGGCCAGAGGGCTAAAACGAGCCCTCTGGCCAGCCTTCGGTTGGAGATGGCCTTACGAGCTGCTAGCAGAACAAAGTATTCCTTGCAGATGAGAGATTTTTCAATGTGACCGGCACATGAGATGGTAGATCACGTGTCACTATACAAATGATGGGATATGTGTGTTAAAAAGTTAATAACTTAAAAAATAAAATTTCTCACCACTTACATAAAAACACGTGGTGTACCACTCGTGTTCTCGTCACAATAAAAAATTTCTCCTTGCGGACGCTACTTCAAGATACTTTAGGTCTAGTTCTAACCGAATTAGGTACCGGGGACATGAAGGCATCATTTTTATCCCTCATTGTGGTCCAACGATCAACACTTATACGAGGGTAGTACTATCCACCCACCAATTTTTATTTTCCACATACCTCTTTCAATTTTTCGATCATTGGATTAAATTAAATAGAAAAGATTAATGATAAAAAATTAATAAGGATGTGTGAATAGCTCTATCATTCTATTATCCTATAATATTTTTGTTTGTACCATACTTGACCAATCCCAAAACTACTGAGCACCAGTCAACGTTATATCGTCAAGAACCCAGAAGAGTTTCCCTCCAACCAGGAGGCCAATCACAGCACGACACGTGTCGACATCAGAAGCCAATCATAGCGCGACAAGTGTCAATGTCAGAATGAAACTAGAAACTCTTTTCTATAAATAGATATTATTCTCTCACAATATTTCCTAATGTCATTTGTATTAAATCTTTCACTAGTACTCACAAAAAGAGAGCTTGAACCTATGTACTTGTGTAAACCCTACACAATTAATGAGAACTCCTCTACTCCGTGGACGTACTCAATCTGGGTGAACCACGTACATCTTGTGTTTGCTTCTCTGTCTCTATTCATTTACATACTTATCCACACTAGTGACCGGAGCAATCTAGCGAAGGTCACAAACTTAACATTTTCTGTTGTACCAAAGTCCTCACTGATTTTGTGCATCAACATTTGGCGCCGTCTGTGGCAACGACACTTATTCCCTCTCTCTTCAGCTTTGTCAAGCTAGTTTCCACCATTCGTACACTCTCTTTTGACCAGGCATCCATCTCCAACATGGGGAGCGAAGGAAGCCACAGCACACATAATGACACCCCTCTTGCACCTAGTGCGAAGCAATGAAAGAAGGAAGGAAAGAGGGTTGCTCTTCAAGCTAAAGTCGATGAGCTAAAAGCTCAAAACAACAAGATATCAATGAAGAATGAGATCTTCCAGGAGCAGTATGAGAAGCTCTTTGAGACGCTCCACAAAACTATGCGTACTCAAACACGCGAGCTTATTGCCCCTGTGCACATCAACCATCATCTGGGTGACCCCAACATGGAGGGTCACCTTCCTCCGACATGGATATCCCTGATGAGGAGCGAGCTAATCATCAAAACATTGATCAACATGAGACTTCTCTTAACCCAGCTGCTTCGACCCGAAGCAGGAGAAGTGGAGGAAGACACCTCTTTGCAGAAAGGTTGGAAGGATCGAAAGCCGTTTATCGTGACTATCGAGACTTCCTAAAGCAACGTCGAGAGAATCCCATCCACATATGCTCGAAGATCAATGACCCAAGGGTTTCTGAAAGACTCGATCCTCTCCCACGACCAAGGCCAGCTGCCAGTCTAGGGAAGGAACTACATGTCCTAGAGGAACATGAAGGTACAGAGGACTTTGAGGTATTCCGACAGACTCGCCCTAGAAGTCAGTACGGCGAGTCCAAGGAAAAATCACACGTCATTGCTCAAACTTTCCTACTTCCAAGAGGCGATAAAGACTTCGAAAGAAAATCCCAGTGGTACATGACTCCACTCAAGACCCTCTTGTCCTACAGCTCCTTGAGGAAGTAAATAAGTTGAAGGCCGAACGTCAGGCTGAGATACCTGACTGGAACCAACCCAGGCCTGGCCCTCTCACAAGGAAGATCTTTGACGCCCCCTTCAAGCGAAGACAAAACAAAGGCTTGGTTTACAACTCTATACTGGAATGGAGGACCCAATTGAACACCTTAACCTCTTTGAGTCCACCATGGCATATCGGATGCATACCGACGAAAAACGATGTCTTCTCTTCATTTCCACCCTCTCTGGCGGTGCTCTAAACTGGTATTGCCGTCTTCCACCTAAGACAATAGACTCATTTGAAGAACTGAGGAAACTGTTTGTCTCTCAACACATCTTCCAGACCGATCGTTTACATTCTGCAGATGACTTTTACACTATTCGCCAGAAGCCGGACAAGTCACTACGCTCGCTGCGATGAGGCAGACGACAAGACCACCCTCAAGGCCTTCACGGTAGGCCTACGTGATTTTTTCTTCAAGTACATGATCAATGCCAACACTTGGAAGACGTGATAGCACAGGTTTACAACCATGCCTCCGTCGAGGCAAGGACATATCAAGGGAAACCCACCACAACCACCCCTTATCAGCAAGTAGGGAGTGGAAGCCGGATCCAACCAAATGAGAAGACCTCGACCTTCCAAACGGTAGCGGTGCCTCCCCCTACCTTACTTAATAATTTGCCAAGTCAACAGACATATCAATCTCAAGGCAAAATGAAAGATTTCCATCCTCACCAGTCTCATTTTAGTAAAAAGAGTAAGGGACACTACTGCGATAACCAAGGGTATCGCCATGATAATCCCCGACCCTAGGCAATCAACACAGTAGGTCAAGCACGTGTCAGGACAACCCCTACCCCAAGGTATGAGGCATACACACCTTTGAACGCCACATGCGTGGCCATTTACCCCAGCATAGCACACTTGATACCGAAGCCAAAGCTGAGGTACCCAGATTACAAGCCCACGAAGAACACGGGCACGTTTTGCTGCTACCACGAGCATAACGGCCATGACAGCGAGAAGTGTATCA